TAACACCTTTCAGCTCATTGCATTACCTGCAAGCCAGTTTGTCTCACTAGAAAATCTTGCTGTTCAGCCATAATCATTCACAAATATGCAAACAGGCTCTGCTATTGCGTCCATCCATGTATAATCATACCATCTTAACATGGCAACACAGCACTGAGATAATTAACTATGCCTAAAAGCCTTCTTACAGAGGATTAGGTCTATAAAATTAATGAATTCTGCTTGCTTCCAGACAGTTCATGCAAGCAGTAGGAGAAAATAACCTGCTTTGCTGCCCAAACCTATTTGGAAAGACCAGATTTACGCATATGAACACACCACTGGTGACAGCTCTTAGCATTTGCCAACAACCTGCAAGTCTCATTCATTTCAGTAGGACTGACAGATGTTCAGCTTTACCAAGAGTCTGTCGATACTGTTTTCCTACCTCTGCTACCTGCCCATGACATCAGATGACAGAATTTTTTCTAGAGGGTAGGATGGTCTGCAGGATAGGGACTGGAAAAATACTTTTAAAACCTTACCAAATTATTTTCTAATGCCATTGTCAAAGGAGTGTGAAAGCTGCAGAGTTAACTTTAACGTTTCTCCATTTGTTTTTACCTCCTCTTTTCCTGCCCCCACCCCACTATGTTAGTCAGACACTTATTTTTAGATAAAGAACAGATAAGCAGAACAATCCATTTCAGGGGAACACATCTTCATCCATCACCCAGCTGACTAACCGTGACGCTAACTGTGTCTTATGCTGTTGACTATTCAGCAGTGAGCTGATCACCTGGACCTACCTCAAGAAAATACAGTGTCTCGGACTGCATGTTAAAGAGTCCTTTAAAATTGAACTGCAGTGCCAAACAGCTCTGAGTAATTCCTTTCCTTGCCCACTGTTTGAAGAGCATTTTCCTGAACAGAAGCATTAGCAATGCTACAATCGTGTATTGTGCTTTTGTCAGTATGCTTCTGTATTGGGTTTGTGTGCAAAGGTTTTGATGGCAGGGAAGCTACAGGGGTGGCTTCTGGGTGAAGCTGCTAGAAGCTTCCCCTGTATCTGATCG